TATTAAATACTTTCAGAAAGGTTCAAACGATGAGTTTCTCTTAAATGTCACGTTGAATTTTAGAAGAATAACGGGGTAAAACTTTTCTACCTGGAAACTCTATCGTTAAACATCCGTTCCATCTATATTGGCACGAAAGACCACTGCTCTAATTCTGAGAACGCCTAATCTATTTCTCGTACTGGTTTATCAAGTCCCCATCTGTGGCAAAACTGTTGAAACATATTATTTTTCTTAAAACGCAAGATTCTTTACTTCTCCATTACTAACCGAACTTCAACAGACCCCTTGCAAGATGAATGGGAAAGAGAAGAATATTCAAGCTGGTAACGTATACATATATATATGTGTCACTGACCACGTTGTAACCGAATGATACGTTACGAGCTTTAATATTCTTCTCTTTCTCTTTCCCTTTCATCTTGCACCAGGTCTAATAAAATATGCTAAAACTTTAGCAGATAGACAGTTTGATATTCTTGTCATTAAAATATGCTTCTCCGATGAATAGCAACCTGTTTAAAGAAATCTCTCAAATGAAACTGTCTAGATGCGAAGTTCCAGTGTGGAATAGAAGACATTAGCATATAATAGGTAACGTTAGTAGAAGGTACTTAGATGACACATTGAAATAGTGAAGTGATTTAGGATGTGGGAATAGGATTGTATGTGTAACAGCACTAAACTCGTAAAGAGCAACAAATCAAAAGCGGATGGGTATAGTTTTCCTACAGTGGAATTCATTGAGCAAAAGATATAAATTAAGTAAAGATTCTAATTAGAATTTGTTTCCCTTTCTCTCGCAACACAATCGTTTGTCAGATGAAATGCATTTTTTCCCACAGTGGCTTCACAACGTAGAAAACAAAGTAATTTTTCGAAAAAAATTGATTTTCAAATAACTTGTAACGTGGAGTAGTTCAAAACAGGAGAGCGTATTACACACATCCACGAACCGAAATCATGAAAGGAACATTTAGTAAGAGAGTGATAGAATGAGGCCTGAGCTGTGCCCACCTTACGCTGTTTTCTCAATTTGTTTAAACCAAATTTTCAGTCAATGCTGTGTGAATCGCAGAGGAACGTTACTTGTAAGATTATTGAATGCAATTTTAAGTATAAACCAAAGATACCTACACAACTAGCTAATACGCTTACCAGTCCTATAAAATTAACCATTTTTCGACCATTATTTTTGTTTTTTCTTACATGTTCTTCTTTGTCATCAGTATCCAGATTTACATATCCAGCAGAAGTAATTCTCAGCAACTTTCGAAACCAATTGCTAGCTCTCCTACAAAACACGTTTAGGTAAAGAAATTCTGAGACTTTTTCCTTCTTAGAGTAGTATACGAAGCTGAAATGTATGCGTTAACAATCTGTAATTGATAATGTAAATAATAGTATTTTACCTTTTGATTGATTGATGTGCATTTTTTGTAGGAAAGTCCTTTATTGTGCCATAATTTGTACTTAAAGTATCTTCATGTATCATACCTGAAGCATTAGAAACCATCGAACCTGATAATTTTACTTTCCCGAACTGCAATTATCTATAAAAGAGTTAAACATTTTTAGACACATTAGACATCGAATCTTACGTAAGAATCTGTCAAGAATCCGATATGAAACATTTAAAAGCCTCGCAAGCGATATTAATTTGATTGGAACCCATTTTGTACTTACAATAAAAAGTTTTTTTGTTTCTAAACCGATAATTATTTAACGCTAAAAACTGGTTTCTTACTCCCTCACCCTCGCCGGAAACAGAACAAAAACAACCGATGCTATTTTCTTTGAATTGTCCATTTTAAGAACATGTGACCGATGTACATACCTTAATGAGTGTTTAGGAAATAGGTCCACATATAAATAAGTGTGACGGACTGTAACAGGTGCTAGACTGACGCAGATACGAGCAAAGTTAGTCGATGAGCCTGCTATAATCTGCAATCGTTGAATCTTTACCAGTGAAAAGGCACATTTCATATCATTGTGCTATTTAATTCGTGCTTTGCTCCTCTCTCTATTTGTTCTTCGTCAGCGCGTATCATTTAGAAAAAAACTTTTTTATTTGTGTTGATTATACGAAATGGTTGACTGCTTCCTCTAGTATGACTGCAAAATGTATCATTAAATATGTTCAAGTAAAGCCAGCTTACAGTGGATAACAAAATTTCAAGAAAATCGATTTTGTAAAAGGTTGAAAATTGCTACTGATTGACTTTTAATTCTATAAAAAGTTGTTCCTTGATTTCCGAAACATCAACACAGAAAATCAAACCAATTTTTCATTCACCTTTTTATTGTCCTATTGCATCAGTATATAACAACGTGCAATATTCGCTGAAAATCAATATGTTCCAACACGTTAGCTTTCCACAATGACTTTCGTCGAAATGTGGATTTTGATGAACCACTTCTCCGATCACAGAGGGCAGCCTGTGATGACTGAAATTGAAAATTCATATCAGTTCCCTAGTTTGTTGAAAATAAATTCTACTTTTAATTTTCGATTTCCTATATACCAGTTCAGCACGGATTATTTTACTGATCACGGAGATATTATTACAAAATTTTCTATTCATTCACTATAAAACGGTGCTTCTTGCCTATACCGATAGAGAAATGTGTGAGGAATATTTACTACGAGAAAATACGTATTCTTTTCTTTCTAGAAATATTTTTCTTTTCTTTCTGTTATTGACTAATTAGTACTAATTAACCTTAATTTACCCAGGTCGGCGGTCGCGCCTAACTCGCGACGTGATCGCAATGTCACGCTGGCGATCGCTATTGTCGTGATGAGAGCACTATAAAGTGGGATTATAGCGGCAGGATCTCGGCAAAATCGCTTTTTTTCAAAAAAGAATCTTGTGAGACTCGTGAAGCGAATAAAACTCGCGGCGTGATCGCTGATGTCTCGCTATTACGCGACGCGATCGCTAAAAACTCACATCATCACAACGTGCCTCATGTCACAGAACTTTATTGGTGGATATAGTTATTGCAAGAACGCAAAAGAATTCTTTTTCTTTTATTTCAAAGTGGAAATTTATATTTCGTGTACTGATAGATAGACTAGTCCACATTCTGTTTATAACATATGTGTCTATAGACACATATGTTACAAACAGACGTGTCTATATGCACGTGTGTAATTGAAGATATTTCTTTTTGTTATTCTCATTTTAAATGAGATATGCAAAAAAAGAGTGTCCGTTATGTACAAGATACTTCATATTCTCTTGACTCAGTATGCAGACTATTACTCGATTTAACGAATAAAACTCGAACATTTGCAGTTTTAGCGAGATTTTATTTTGGGTTTAATACTGTACCAGAGTGGTATTTTTATAATTTTTTTCCTGAAACCTTGGGTTTACCGGCATATTTTTCTAATTAGTTGGTTTCAGAAATGCTGGATTTATTCGTGCGCATTTATTAAATTAAACAAAGTGTTCTATTAAAAAATTTCGATCATTTTCGGTTTTTTCTAGAAAACAGTAGATTTCGAGTTAAATCAGTTCTGCCGAAACGGTGGCGATACTGTGAAGTGTAAAATGCATTTACTTTGAAATATATTGTTTTTTCCAAAAAGCCGAAAATGCCAATAAGTTTTTGATAGAAAACTTGACTTAATTTAATAAATTTCGTTTAAAGTAACTAATACGCATTTTTTCTCTGCCATGTCTAGCGATCTCTGGACATACTGCCCTAGTCCATATATATCTCTCTTCGTGCTTTGTTCATTCACATACACAGACTACATTTTCCTTATATTAAATGTACACATTCTCTTCTTTTCTGTTTATTCATTTTAGATGTACAACGGGCGAAAAATCTCCATATCCCCCTTTCAGTACTTACTTATTCATCACTGTACATACATTTTTTGTCAATCACTTAGAATTGACGACTATATAAGAACCAGAGATATCCATGGCGGCGCTACCGCTACGGCGGAGGCGGCACGGCAGCGGCAACGTATTCTTTTTTACCGTCGCGGCGCGGCAGCGGCAGCTTATTTTTCTCTACTGTCTCGGCGTGGCAGTGGCAACTTATTTATTTTTGCCATCGCGGCGCGGCAGCGGTTCAATTTTTGAAAAGATTTATTTAATTTTTGTCAAAAAAATCTATAATAAAGCTATTCAAATCCTAGCATCATGATGAACACTGGAGTTATAGTACTATTCATAAACTAGTTTTTTCGTGGCTGTTGATATTTCTTTTCTAGATGTTATATAGCATTCTGACAACAGACATACATTCTATATATTTATACGTTCTTCTTTCGTTTGTATCTTTTCTTTGATTTTCTCGCTACTAGTAATTTATGTGAAAAAAATATGAAATATAACAAACACTTAAATCATTTTGCACCAACTTTTTTTATGACAAAAATATCGATCTTATTACACAAGCAACAGATAAAGAATTGACTTGGAATATTCACATATGATTAATTGATCAAAATATTTTAGATCTAAAGAGCATATATATATAAAAATTCACTTCTTAGTGACTATATATTATGCCAGGTACTCTCAATTTTTTATCATTTCTATATCTTTCTAATCTTAAATATTGGTTATGCAAATGGAGAGCAGCCATCTAAGTTGCTTCCCATCACGTCGCGGCACCGATTTTTTAAGAACATCCGCGTCGCGGCAGCGGTGCGGGGCCAAATTTTGGAAATGTTGGCGTTGCGGTAGCGGCGCGACATCAGTTTTTTCGAAACCTTAGCGGCGCGGCAGAGGCTGATTACTAACCGCGATGAACATCTCTGGTAAGAACGTGTTTCTTATTTTTTATTCAGTTGGTGAGAGCGCGTTAAGCGGTGGGTAAAATGTCTTGTTCTTTCAACAGAAACGGTCTATTCTTAGCTAAAGTCCGATTTCGTTTCATTGATCAGTTATCAACATTTCCATTAATTTTTTGCATATTTTTTCTAACAATCATTTCAGATAAGATCTCTTTTTTCTATGGACACGAATATAAATAATAATCCAAGAACGTGGAATGTCAGTGATGTAATGAACTGGGCAAAAACATTTATTGTCGACGATGCAATATTAAACAAATTCAAAGGTAAGGGTCGGTTTTTATGATTCGCTGGTTAAACTTCAAGAAGTATGAAAGTACTTCCTCTTTCCTCGAATTGTAAAATATGAATGCGCATGTCGTTTTCTCTGTTGAGTCTACCATAATCAGAACCATTCCGCGGTCTGCTTCTTTTGCTTTTGCTGACTCTCCCTTTTCGAGTTTCATGCAAAAGTACAAATCATAGGAAATAGTTCAGAAATATTAATTCCGTGTTGTAAAACTCTGTTGAATATTACATGTATCCTCTAGCTTAATCTCTCTTTCTATATATATATATTTATTCCAAATGAATCAACATAATTATCAGTATCTGTGCCACTTTTGCACAAATAACAGACAGTTTCCAACGTTCCGAGACCTTTTTAGCCACATGACTTTTTATCATTATTCCGAATAGAATTTTTCAAATTGTGACCTATCCAATGAATGTGGAAAGACTTATACGACATTTAGCTCTCTCTTTTAAAGTGCATGTATATCGAAAACACAGAAATCTCCTTCAACCAAGCTTATTCTGTTTCGAAAAAAACGCAAATGAAAATGATCATAATCCTGTCGACGTTGACAATCCGGATTCGAATGAATTACATATCGAAACTCAGTCATCGGACAACGAGGAAGAAGAGCGACATATTCTCTTTCACAATAGTTATGAAGATATGTCGCCACCTACTACGCCAGAATTTGAAATTCCAGAAACGTATACCATGAACGATTTTCAGAAACATTACGCTTCATTTCTCCTCGAATTACGAGAAATCTCTTCTACCACTTCATGTTATTAACTCTATTACATGCAATGTAGTTCATCTATTAGATATCGTTTCGAAATTACCATCTCAAAAATCGGATAAAAACGATATTCTGGCACCAGCAGCCACCTTGATCCATTCATGTGCTGGCCCGTCCTTACGTCTCGATGTGGCAAAGAATGTTATCGATGAAATAATCAATCATGTGCAAAGTACCACAAAAAGTGAATATCATTTTAATAAATTATGTAAAAATTTTTTCGGTTATCTGTCATCAACAGAAATATTGCTCTCAGCCCCTCCCGCCACTCAATCAACATCAGCCACTCTTCTCAGAAGCAGCCAAGATTTTGCTTATTATGCGCCCATTCGCGAATCTCTGCGGCGAATATTAGTTAAAGAAGAAATGATACCGTTACTGATCGACAGCATTCAACAACAACAGCAGCAGACGAAGAAAGATGATGATCTAATGTTTTCTTATCGTGACGCACACAATGGTAGAAATATTAAGAGTAATTCATTTCTACTACAACTGTACACCGCTGGTCCGACCAATCCAAGTGATCCTAAAAAAGATATGCACAAAGTCACATTTTATTATTATTTATTACTTGGACATACCCGGTATCTTTCGGTCGTTGCTTCAGTGCATAACGTTATTGGCTATGATTAACACTGATTATCTTGAGAACAAAGACTATTGTCATCCATTTTATAAACCTCTCATCAAGGATCTGAATGATTTACAACAGCACGGTTTAAGATTTGATACATTTAATTCCCAGTTGGTGTTTACGTTCATATGTGTTTCGTCTGACAATCTCACAGCTCATCAGATTGGCAACTTTCAGAAAACATTTTCCTCCGATTATTTCTGTCGTCGGTGTCTCGTTCATTACGACCAACGAACTATACCGTTATTTAATATTGAATTTCCACAAAGAAACGCAACCGAACACCAACACCACGTTCACCAAACGATTCAAAACAACGATGGTTTACCCGTCTTTGGTGTAAAAGGTCCAAGTGTCCTTCAACAATTAGACAGTTATAGTCCAATACGTAGCCTTCCAGGCGGTGTTATGCACGACTTTGCTGAAGGTACGTGTCTTTGCTTCATTCTTTTTATTCTGCGTGGGATCTCTGTTCTGCGGATATAAAGTACGAGGATATGCCCGGTTTCGAGAGAAGATTTGTTTTTCTGCGCGATATAGAGTTACGCCAAAAAAGCGATTGAAATAAGCACGGGAATACTTTCAGGCAATATTTTTAAATTTTTCGCCTTCTCCAGTAAGATGTTTTGTGGGTTTCGTTAACTAACAAGTTTTTATTTTGTTCTGCTTGTTTAGGAACGATTCCTACGATTATCGTCAGCATGCTGAAAGAATTATCCAGAAAGAGACTAATGACCTATGCTCAAATAGAACATCGTTCTGCAAATTTTAACTATGGAACCAATGACAAAAGTGACAAGCCTCCATCTGTAAAAGCGAAACATTTACAAAACGGTCGATAAGTGGGACGTGCATCTCAAAAAATTTTATTTTTTCGTCTATTTCCATTGATTTTTCATGGTGTAGCCACCCAACTGGACACATTTAAGTTATATTCAATACCCCGTGAAATGCTCGAAATCGTCCTGGCTCTACCATTAAGAAAAAGCTGATTTCCTTATTTAAATACTCTAAGTAAACAATTTCAGTCATTATTGAAAGAAATACTTCCGGACAAAATGCGTCCAAAAGTACATTTCTGTACAGAATATTCGGCAATCATTCGAGATTTCGGCCCTTCGATGCGTTATTGATGTATACGATACGAAGGTCGTCATTTATATTTTTAGAAGATTGCATTACACACATGTAATTTCAAAAATATTACCAAAACGTTAAACACGAGAAATCAGCATCGTCATTGTTTATCCTTATCCCGATCCTATTTTTTAAAATCCTTCACAGAGGCATCTGGGTCAAAATTAGAAAAACTCGTTAACTATGACACTAATATCAAAGAATTGGTATAAACTTTATTTATTTAGAAAAAATGTTGAAAAAATCAGTAGAAATTATAAGAAGGAGGCGAACTCATTACATCTTAACATAAATTGATTGAGGACAGAGGACAGCACTAGAATACATGTATAAAAACAATACATGGCAAAGAATTATTAAATCAAAAATTTCGTACGGACTATTCATCACAATCAACGCTTCTAGAATGTAAACAGCTCCATCATAATCATGTGCGTTATAAACAATATTCTGTTTTCATGTGGGACGTGAAGCATGTGGAAGAAATCCCACTATTTTTTATCATTCATCATATAATCCGTGTAAATAGTAACTGGATTTTAATAGTTGAAAATTTGAAAACAATCTCTTTCAACGAACACTTGTATGCATATGAGATACAAAGCAGTGGTATTTTCAACGTAGTTTAGAAAATTCAGTATTTTCATAAACCATTAGATGTTTATCAAATCAACAATTTCTCTTTTGTTTCTCTTCTATCCCGAGTAACAAAGCATTAGCGAGTAGGAACTTTTTCAGTTTATTTGCTTTATTTCAGTTTATTTTACTTTGACTGTATTAATGGCATTTTCAGTTTAAGGTCTTATGAGTTAAACTTTTAACAGAAGCGACATTTTTTGAGGAACGAAGTGCTCGATTTTGATTGTAAGGGGCAGTGAATTTCTCAACGATGGTTTGGATTCCACTAAACACGAGTGCTCCATGAAGAACTTCAAAAAAAAACAAGTTTTTTCATTAGACTCGTAATCGTAATATATTTCTCCATGTTTTTAGGATTTAAGGAGCCATGCATTCTGCGATTGTAGATTCTAACCTAGACATTCCTGACATGAATTTTAGAAAAATTTTTCTGTTTCTTTGACTCCATCTGTCTGGATGGATTTCACCTTTTCTTTCGACTTTAAGAGTTTCCAATGTATTTAGAAGACAGGGATAACGCCTACTTAATAATAAAATTTATAATTGTTTCTCTTTTTATTGTTTAGAAGCCGAGATCGACGGTGAAACATTATTTATTATGATAACCCCGGTTGTTGTTTCATTGATTTTCCCCAAATTTAGTCAGCGGGCCTTGTTTTTCCATCATCGTGATTTATTATTTAATTCTGTACCAATATTCTCAACGTCATCGCCGTATGTCACAAGCACTGGTATTTCTACCGATGATTTAGTGGATAATTTAACTATTTTGACCGAAATTATTTATTCGACAGATGAAAAGGAATCGACTAACTTAGATCATGTTGATACACTGGATGAACCTGGGTCGGAAACCACTGTTACGTCGTCAAATGCTATCACAAAGAAGAAAGTTGATCTTGTCTATCCTTATGTTGTCCCTATTCTTCCAGTCGCCGTGCAGCAAGCTATTATTGACAGAGAATTGACAAGATTTAACAGTTATTGCAGTTATCGAGCTATTCTTACTGATATTTCATGATTGTACAAAAAATTTTAATCTGCTATAAATGTTCGGTTTTCCTGTCTCAAGTTTGTCGTACTAATGTTTTTCATTTTTCTGTTTTTAGTTATCCAGATAAACGTGATCACGAAAATGTGGTGAAAAGTGTGTTAAATGCATTGAAATTGCCGATTACTTCTGAAAATATGGTACGCATCAGCTTTATCTTTCAACTGTTCAGGGTTCTCGGGATTTTTTGAGAGAAGCGAAACTGAAAATTCGATCGAAAGCATTTTTTCCTAAGAACTGGAAGCTTTTCCCCTATGAATGACGTGGAGAAACTTATGGCAGACTCTTAGCAAACTTGTGGTAGAAAGTCCCAAATTATGATAGTGGAAAGCTCGTGCCTGTCTCCGTTAATCGCGAACTCTCTTACAGTGTTGCCTTTATCTTTTCAATGTCCTTCTAAAAAAAATTTCACATCTCGTTATTTGCTAGAAATCCTCTCGAAAAGATGTGCAGCACTTCATCGGCAGTACCACCTCAGGATACCTTTATTTTATCTCTATAACTTTTTTCTTTTAGAATTCATGGAAAAGTACATTACAAGCAAAATTTAAACGACAACGGAAACCCTCGGCAATGACAAACGACGAAGTCAAAGCAGCAAAAGAGAAATTTTCACAAGAAACTGGTGGAAGACCTGTGAAACGAAAAGATGAATCATTGGCTGAAAGGCATACAGAAAGTCTGGTAAGTCAATTATTGATCTAGGCTAGAAGAAGCTACTTAATCTTGTATCTTATTCTTAAAAATTCTTATAAAATATTCTTCTTTAAAAAGTTCTGATAAAATTCCAGAGTTGGTTAGTCTTATTTTACGGAATATTCGTGTCTAAGAAAAAGCTTTGCATTAAGACAGGATATCAGAAGCAGGTCTCTTTTGATGAGTTTAGTGCCTTCCGGATTTGAAGGCACTCCAAACTTACTATGCTTTTCCTTTCTGAACGAGGTCTAAAATAAGAGAAAAGCACCTCTTTAGCGTGTGTGACTTCAGGTTAGGTGCCATTTGTTATTTTTTCTCCATTAGATATTTTACGAAGTTGAGCTAACTCGAAAACTGGATCTCCGAAGAAATACTCAAAAATGTTTAGATGTATTGTATGGAAAATTAATAGCACACGATAAAACATCGTATTTAACAGGTAAGTTAAATACGATTATTTTGGGATCGAAATAGCCCGACTTCGGATGCCTTTCAGTCGGAAA